CCATCACCGGCACTCCCGTCTGCTGGATGGCCGCAGGAGTTCAGCATACCAGAACAACCAAACTTCAACAACTTTGGCGAAATGACAGGGTTCGCAGGGCCGAACAGTGCTCGTTCGCCGCCGGTAAACATGGGCGGACCGTTCCAGCAACCTCTTCTACCGCAAGATCTGTTCGCCCTCCCCATGACACTAGATTGGGACTGGGCAGAGATGAGCGGCGGTGCGTACCCAACGGTGGAAAACGGCAACGTGGGTTAATCCATTTCGGAACCCTCTGAGCAAGTCCGAAGCGCCGGAATATCTGATTGGACGGGCAACCGCGTCAAAAAGGTGGTCGGTCACTGGACAGAACATTATAGGTTGCATAATGTGCATATATGAGACGACATCACGAACCATTTAACGCATGTACGAGTAATTAGCCTGCTGAACGGAGCTATGGCTGGGGGAATTTTGGAGGGAGAATTTAGCATATTACGTTGTGCCCTGCCATAGAGTGGTGGAATTGACCTGTACACGACGATGTTCCAATAACTGCGACCTACCTTGCAATGGAAAAGCCCTTTGATAGAATGTGCACATTTGAATAACAGGAATACTAAAGAATGACCAAATGATACAGCGCCCAAGGCTCTGGACAAGACTGAATGATACACGTACAAAGTCGGGAGCCTGGAGAATCGAGCGAGCGGGACCACTCTAGACCCTGTTCGTCAACGCGTGGTATAAATGGGATTCAAGGTGTCATTCATTATTATCGGAGTTTGCGGGCGGAAAGGTCCTTCTTAGCCGAGGACGGGGGGGCGCTGGAGGCGGCAGGGTGGGCCCGGGGGGTTCTGCTCTCTGGCTGCGGACGGAGTTTGAGAGTCACGTGCACCGCTAAAATCTCGGCCTTGATGGGGCGCCGACATGAACTCATCACTCAGGCCATGGGAGCTTTTGCCATCGCACAGTCATCCCAGGAACGCCTGGTCCAATTACCAACCACACCTAGTACGATTTTCTCCCACCACCACCGCTGCAAATAAGTGCGGTTGGTGCTCTACATCGCCATCAGAAACCCCATTGACTACTTTCCCTCTCCTCCCGACCTACCATTGTACGAACGACCACCGGGGCGCATCAATGAGATAGCACATTGCTGCACGCGGTTTATACTCCCTCCTACCCGACTCCGGTCGTCCCGCCTCGTCACCCCGCGAAATACAGACACACATACCGCCATGGCGAGGTTTCTCCGCCAGTCCGCGCAGCTTGCGCGAGCTGTAAGGATTGCCCAGCAGCCGGTTACACGTATGCGCTTCCAGCCGTCTAGAACAGCAGCACGACTCGGCCCGCAAGCTCCGCTAGCTTGCTATCGATCACGGTTTTACTCGACAAACGGCCCCGAGCCCCCGAAGAACGAGAAGGAATCTGAAAAGAAGGAACCTGAAAAGAAGGAAGGTGCCCCTCAGGAGAAGCTGTCCAAAGAGGAGCAAATACGGAAAGAATGGCCTCTACCCGAAGGATGGGTGTACCTCAATGAGGAGGAGATCGACACGTTGCTCAAGATGGGACAGAACGACAGACTGCCTCGGTTCCAGAAGGACTTCTTCATCAAGAGTGTGGAGGAGATGAAGTTGTTGGGAGCTCCCAAGGAGCTGAGGGATCTTCTGTTGACGCTAAAGGAGCGGAGGCTGAAGATGACCGTCACCGACATCGCCAAGGTTCTCCGTGTCTCGACGCAGGTCGCAAAGAGGTTCTCCGAATACGAGCAGACCGTGCTTATGCGCGAAGAGCAAAATCCGACAAAGGAGAAGGAGGATGGCGCAAAGAACTCCCAGGAGGGCGAGCAGGGCAAGCAGCAGAAGGGAGGGCGCAACTCAGAGAACAACGAGGGCGCACCGGGCGGTGGCTTGGGCGGCAAGAGATGGATCTTTGGCATGCTCAGCACCGGTGACCTGATTGTTGCCGCCATCGTCTGGATCGTCATTCTGCCCTTCTTCGAGTCTATGATCTTCGGCCAGGAGAAGGAAATCACATGGCAAGAGCTGCGCAAGAACTTCCTGGACAAAGGCTTGGTCAACAAGCTTGTGGTCATCAAGAATCCCGGCCGCGTGCGCGTTGAGCTGAACAGAGATGGAGTGCAGTCGGTGTACGGCGGAAACGAGGGTGTCAACCCCAACATGCAGTACTACTTCTCCATCGGTTCAGTAGAGATGTTCGAGAAGCAACTCGAGGACGCCCAGAACGAACTTGGCATCCCGACCTCGGAGCGCATTCCCGTCAGCTACGCCAGCGAAGGTGGCATCATGCCCTTGGTCTACGCCTTCGGCCCCACACTGCTGCTGGTCGGTCTGCTCTACTACACCACCAAGTCGATGGGTGGACGTGGCGGCAACCAAATGTTCGGATTCGGTAAGAGCAAGGCCAAGAAGTTCAACCACGAGACAGCAATCAAGGTCAAGTTCAGCGACGTTGCCGGCATGGACGAGGCCAAGACAGAGATTATGGAGTTCGTCAGCTTCCTGAAGACCCCCGAGCGCTTCGAGAGGTTAGGCGCAAAGATCCCCCGTGGTGCCATCCTCGCCGGACCTCCTGGAACCGGTAAGACGTTGCTTGCCAAGGCCACCGCCGGCGAGTCTGGCGTGCCCTTCTTCAGCGTCAGTGGTTCCGAGTTCGTCGAGATGTTTGTCGGTGTTGGTCCTTCAAGAGTGCGAGACTTGTTTGCAAACGCTCGTAAGAGTGCCCCCTGTATCATCTTCATTGATGAGATCGACGCCATTGGCCGATCAAGACAGGAAGGTAACCGCATGGGCGGCAACGATGAGCGCGAAGCAACTCTGAACCAGATCTTGACCGAGATGGACGGTTTCAACACCCAAGAGCAGGTCGTTGTCCTCGCTGGCACCAACAGAGCCGATGTTCTTGACAAGGCGCTGATGCGTCCCGGTCGTTTCGACAGGCACATCTTTATTGACCGCCCGACCATGAAGGGTCGCCAGGAGATCTTCAAGGTGCACCTGGCCAAGATTGTTACAAAGGAAGATATGGACCACCTCATGGGCCGTTTGGCGACTCTGACTCCGGGCTTCTCCGGTGCCGATATTGCCAACGCCGTCAACGAGGCTGCCCTGGTTGGTGAGTTTGATACGACGCCTGGCCTTTGAATCTAACACGATGCTAACTTTACTATAGCCGCGCGTGCCAATGCCGAAACAGTGGAGATGATTCACTTTGAGCAGGCCATTGAGCGTGTCATCGGAGGTCTCGAGCGCAAGTCTCTTGTGCTCAACCCTGAGGAGAAGAAGACGGTGGCCTACCACGAGGCCGGCCACGCCATCTGCGGTTGGTACCTCAAGAACGCCGATCCCCTTCTCAAGGTTTCCATCATCCCCCGTGGCCAGGGTGCATTGGGTTACGCCCAGTACCTGCCCCAGGGAGATGCCTATCTCATGACCGTCCAGCAGCTGATGGACCGCATGGCCATGACGCTCGGCGGACGTATCTCGGAGGAGCTTCACTTCCCGACCGTCACGACGGGCGCCAGCGACGACTTCCGCAAGGTCACGCACATGGCCCGCAAGATGGTGACGCAGTGGGGCATGTCGGAGAAGGTCGGCCCGCTGCACTTTGACGACGACCCGAACACGCTTCAGAAGCCGTTTGCCGAGGCCACGGCGCAGGCCATTGACGCCGAGGTGCACCGCATCATAGAGGAGGCCTACAAGCAGTGCCGCGACCTGCTGACGGAGAAGAAGAAGGAGGTCGGCATCGTCGCCGAGGAGCTCCTCAAGAAGGAGATGCTGACACGCGACGACCTCGTCCGCCTGCTCGGCCCCCGGCCGTTTGGCGATAACCAGGAGTTTGAAAAGTACTTTGGCGGACAGGGGCAGAAGAGCGCGCCGCCGCCGTTCCCTACGGAGGAGGTCGATAGCCCGCCTGAGCAGCCGCCCGTCGGTCCTTCGCCGACTTTCAAGAGCCTTGAGGACGCGCCGAGGAGATGAGGGGGTGTAGTTGTAGTAGTTGTCGTAGGACGAGGAGGAGGATAGTGGCACGCCGACTCCAACATGCCGCAAATTGTATTTTATTTTATTTTATTTTCCATCCCCCCGGTTTTCCCCAAAAAAGAACTAGGCTCTCTCTATCTCTCTCAACTCTTGCCCTTTATGGCGGATGTGTTACTAGTAGAAGGCATATCATCATCATTATTCATCATTGGGGGCTTTTTTCTGGAGTAAAGATGGAGGGAACACAACTTTCTTCGTGTTGTTGTACTTGTAGGAAATTATGTAGATACATCTCTACCTATTTTTATTGCTTCAATCTCTGATGAGGAGAACATGATGAACGTGAGGAAATTGGTGAATGTGATGAATGAAGGCGTGGACTTTATAGAGGGAGGTGTGAGATGAGATAGGTGTGGTGGCTGTCTGCTGTCGACCTGCGTGATGCTGTCTGTGAGTTGCTAGGTGTGTGTGTGTGTGTGTGTGTGTGTGTGTGTTATCTGGTGGCTGGCCTGGTTAGTAGACATCTAGAAGGGGTTTGATATTCTGAAATGGGTGGCGGGTGGTGCGAATTGCTGGTTCAGTCCTGGACGATCCCAAGGGACAAGGACAGCATCTCATGGGATAGAGGGGAAACTAGGGAAACTAACGTTTGTAGCATTTTCAAACTTTTGTCCTCTTTGATCTATCCATTGCTTAATGATGTCAGCCTTGCGAGAAAACAACGTGGTATTCTCGAGCCGTCATACCAAGTGGAATTTTAGTTATTCGTATTCCGCCTGGCCGTTCTTGGTTGAGGAAACAGCAGCAGTTACGTGGAGGGGGTTCACACAACACGCTCTCTAGGGAGATGAGTATGGGGGGTATGCGAGCGAGTAGGTAGATTAAGCTGGGAGGGGGACAACAGATTGCCTTGGTGCTAAGAGAAGAGGGGAGGGGAGGAGGAACACTTTGCAACAACACACTTGCATCACATCACCATGGCCCCGAACTGCCAACAACTCAACTTTGGTGGTCTAAACCGACGAACGCAAACACATGGAGTGAATAATCTATACGTATTCATGTGTATACAGCCAAGTACCAATGAGAGGCGCTCCTCCCCGTTGAATGATATAAACGGTAGGCTCACTAGGAGACCACTCACGTCGTCACCGATAAACATACTGTATGAAGCCGGCAATGCCAATGAAACAGGTGGTTCCAGGTACCTTTATTAATTCTCCGATAAAGCAAAGCCGTCGCATATCGCAAAAGAAGGGACACTCTCGGCCGGATGTGTGCCGTGCTCTTTGAGATGTGGACTGGGTTCCTTTCGGACATGTCCCTCCCGTCAGGCTCGTAGAGGTTGCCACTGGTACGGGTTTGGTAGCAAAGTCTCTAGACTGACCCAACCAAGCTTCACCGTACTTGGCCTCTAGCACGTACCTAGGTACTCTCAAGAGACTCTAACTTGACTGCCCGCGCAATTAATGCAATCTCGAGTGATGCTTCTTCCCCCCTGGGACTGCAGGGGACCAGATGGACCGATATATCCGGCGAGAATTAGCATTGCGCCGAGGCCGAATGATTGGCCGCCACGCATACAAGCACGCAGACACCAAGAGAGGAAGAGAGCAGCGCGTGGCAGAGGGTGGCACTAGAATAGGGTGGTCCCGATCCTGTGGGCAGAATCGCAAGATGGACGTGTGCCCGTCTGGCCGTGTGACTTCCCACCGGGTTCGCCTGGCGTGTACCGGCGCCGAGGACAAGTGCCGTGCGAAGAAAAGAACGTTGCCGATCGTCTGTGCAGTTTTGCCGACGGATCTCACGCAAGCACCAACCTCTTGGTACACGCCTCTTTGGTGGAAAAGTTAAAAGTTCAGTTGGAGCGAAGCGAACTTGTCGGTCTTTGCTTACCTTGGGGGTAAGGTACCTAACCTAAACGGTGCAAGAGTCTGTGGCGGACTAGGAGCACGAGGGCACGAACTAGTTGTGTCGACTGCTGGACAGATCTAGTAGACGTCATTGGTAATTCTTCAGTAAGACGAACTACTTACCCTTTCAGTAAAACTACAACAGCGCGCGCAGCGGTGATTCCTCATACGCGAGAGAGAGAGAGAGAGAGAGAGAGAGAGAGAGAGAGAGAGAGAGAGAGAGAGAGAGAGAGAGAGAGAGACGAAAGCAACCAAAAGAGGGTATCGAATATATCATTCATTCTGCCCAAGCAGAATTTCAATTTCTCCAGCAGAGCCAATCAAGGGCGTTGATTCCGTTTGCTTCGGGTTTCCAAGACTGGGGTGCCGGGGGGGAATGGTGGGAGGGGGAGACGATGGAAATACCTGGATATCGCAACTTCAGGTGGTAAGGTACCTATCGGAGGCGGCCATATGCACGTGGCGAGACCTGCTTCGGCGTCGGCTTTGCAATTTTTTGTGACGGGTTCGCTGACTCGGCGAGGGCGGTGACGGCAAGGAGTGGGAGGCGACCGACGGCGGCGGGGTGAAGGATGATGTGGGATACCTGTGACCTTGCCTTACCTTAGGTATGTATTCGTATTGGATGTGGTGTGGTGTGGTGTAGGAACTTCCGTCATGACCATGTTTTCCGTCACCTCTCTTCCGGCGAGTCTATTGCGACAACTCAATCATGATGATGCCACACTCTCTCGCAGGAAATCACTCACATATCTCGTTGCTCAACAGGTATCATACCGATATTGCTGTTGAATTCCTATCGAAGATCGCTCCCTGTTCAAAGATCCAGCGGGGTGGGGCCGTGTCTTCTTCGAAATTGTCTCGCCGACCAATCTAGATTCAGCGTTTCCGTCAGGACGCAGGAAATCAATCATCCTTTTGATCCCTCCCCCCTTGTTTGTCTCTTTGCGTATTTTTCTTCCACTTCTGCCAGAAAGCCAAGGGCCTGTGGTTACATTTCGCGGCCTTTTTTTTTTTTTCTTCTTCGATATCCACTCAATTCCAACTTCAACCTGCGACCCGTATTCTCTGCCGTTTCTATGGACTGTCAAGCTTTTAGACTCCGCGAACCTACACTCCGTCATTGAGAGAGAGAGAAAGAGAGAGAGAGAGAGAGAGAGAGAGAGAGAGAGAGAGAGAGAGAGAGAGAGAGAGAGAGAGAGAGAGAGAGAGAGGGACCCCCCCCCCGGCTTGGCCTGGGTCTTGAGAACTTAGAGGCGAGGAAACCTTGCCTCGGCCGGTTCGCTCTAGTCTTACCTCTGTCCGGATACAACATCTTAAATACAACCCGCCAACCCGCCCTCTCGGGCGCAAAGGCGCTGACAGGACATCACGAGCCCACCAAGGAACGCAAGTCACTATCGCCCGACACTCAGTATACGAAGAGTCTCAAACGGTTCGGCGGAGTTGAAACAGAGCTTCAAGAGCGATTTTGAAGGGCTCTTTCATTCTTGCCGACATGATTGCGCATCGCTCTCGAATCGTGTTTTGTTGAACTCGTTGGTTGGCCTGTGTTTCTACATCTTTTGCTTTTGCTTGGTTTAATTGCAGCATTTTGTTTAGCAGCGACCGTCATTCCTCGTCCGCAAAGCATACTACCTTGGTTGGCGGTTTCGCTGTGCCGCATCGCCACGCCGAAACCCATCTATTACAAATAAACGTACACTTGATCAACTCGACGACAACGGCAACGACAACGACGGCCATGGTATCCAACATGGACGAAAAAGCGGTCGTGCCGGGTCGGCGCCCCTCGCCCGGCCGGGACGCCACGCGGAACGACAGCTCCGGCTCGGGCAACCGCACATCGCGCAGGCCCGGCGGCTGGTGGAAAGTACACCTTTTCCGCGGTATGGTCAACGACATTCGTCGGCGGGCGCCCTTTTACGTCAGTGACTGGACCGATGTCTGGGACTATCGTGTGGTCCCGGCCACGGTCTACATGTATTTCGCAAAGTATGTATTATTGTCATCATCTGTGGTTTGATCTTTCTATCCTCTCGCAAAGCGTTACATCGCACCCCCTTTTTCTGTAAGCCAGTCGTGTGCCAGGATGGAAGATAGAATATTGTGTTTCTCATCTTTATTCGCAATGTTGCCGTCCATGGCCCCCCCTTATCGCTGTTCGAGTTACCGCTGATGCCAGGCTTCCTGACACTCAGCTAACCTGTATTGCAGTATCTTGCCCGCTTTAGCATTCTCTCTCGACATGTTTACTAGCACGGGATCAACATACGGAGTCAACGAGGTCCTTCTAGCTTCCGTGTTGGGGGCAGTAGTATTCTCTCTACTAGCTTGCCAGCCTCTGGTCATTGTCGGCGTCACAGGCCCCATCACAGTCTTCAACTACACCGTGTACGATATCATGGAGCCAACCGGCACCAACTACCTAGCATTCATGTGCTGGATCGGCCTGTAAGTCTCGCCAGACCCTCCCCCTCCCCCTCCCATCCCATCACCTACTTACAAACGGTTCAACGGCAGGTGGTCACTAGTCTTCCACTGGATCCTCGCCGTCACAAACTCCTGCAACTGGCTCCGCTACGTCACGCGCTTCCCCTGCGACATCTTTGGCTTCTACGTGGCCTTCATCTACCTCCAAAAGGGCATCCAGGTCCTCCAGAGGCTGGGCGACGCCGAGCCCTTTTACCTCTCCATCGTCGCCGCCTTACTGGTCTTCATGGTCGCCTACATCTGCGCGGGCGTCGGCGGGAGCGGCCTGTTCCATCACCACGTGCGCGTGTTCCTCAAGGATTACGGCACCCCGCTCACCCTCATCTTCTTCACTGGTTTCGTGCACATTGGCAGGATGAAGCCCGTTGATTTGGAGGTGCTGCCCACGGGTATCGCTTTTATGCCCACGGCGGACAGGAGCTGGCTTGTGGACTTTTGGAACATTCCTGTCGGGGATGTGTTCCTGGCCATCCCCTTTGCTATCCTCTTGACCATTTTGTTCTGGTTCGATCACAATGGTAAGCAGCATACACTCGGCTCTCCCTATCCGAGGCTACCAAAGACTAACACGAACGTGCACAGTGTCTTCTCTCATCGCACAGGGAACCGAGTTTCCACTCAAGAAGCCGGCAGGGTTTCATTGGGACCTCTTCTTGCTCGGCCTCACCACGGGAGTGGCCGGCATCCTCGGTCTGCCGTTCCCCAACGGCCTCATCCCGCAAGCTCCATTCCATACCGACTCTTTAACAGTTAGCAAATCAGAACCCGAGACGGACGAAAAGGGCGAGTTCAAGGGCAGCTACGTGGTCAAAGCATCTCACGTAGTAGAGCAACGTGTCTCCAACCTGGCCCAAGGCCTCCTGACCCTCGGCACAATGACGGGCCCCCTCCTCGTCGTCCTCCACCTCATCCCGCACGGCGTCCTGGCCGGCCTCTTCTTCGTCATGGGCGTGCAGGCCCTCGAAGGGAATGGCATCACCCTCAAGATCCTCTTCCTCCTGCGCGACAAGAACCTGACGCCGCCGAACCACCCCCTCAAACAGATCCGCCGCCGCCGCGCCATCTGGGAGTTCGTCGCCATCGAGCTCGTCGGGTTCGGCGCCACGTTCGCCATCACGCAGACCGTCGCCGCCGTGGGCTTCCCCGTCTTCATCATGCTCCTCATCCCCATCCGCGCCTGGCTTCTTCCGCGCTGGTTCTCGCCCGAGGAGCTGGGCGCGCTCGACGAGGCGACGGCGTCGCCTTTTACCATGGAGGGTATCGGCGGGGTTCACGGGGGCGGCGATTCGGGCGATGACTCGGACGGGACGCGGGTGTCTGATTATGAGAATGATGGGGAGGGACGTGCTAGTAGGCAGGCAGCGGGGCATGGCGATGGCATCTTCGCGTCGGCGGAAGCGCCGGGGAGGAGTCAGGAAGATGTGGCGGAACTTGGGCAGTCTCAGAGTGTGCAGAGTGCGGGAAAGACGACGAGGAGAGGAGGACACGCTGCCACGGCCGATTGAAGGTCAGTGATGATATGACCAAGAATTCGAGCTTATAGAGAAAGAACGTAATGCTGGATAGTTAATACCCAGGAATATTTAAAGATGGGTGCTCATCCAACGTTGGTCGATGTATCGAAACACCTTCATATCGGTTCTACCCAGCTCACTGACCGAGAGTTTTCCAGCGAGATGCCAAAAATGTTAACGAAGAAGGGAGACAGCGTCTTCTCACACTACTACCACTCTAAGGTCAAAACAAAATACTGATTGGACAGCTTTACACGTCAGTAATGGGATTGACACATTGGTACTGGGTAGTAGGAGCGGTCAGCGTTGCTCGGCCCAGCACGCCCCGCAAGCCCGTTTAGGCATTCGGGGCCTTTGTGATTGGCCTCTCTGACGAGAAGTCGATGGTAGATTGTCTGTCGTCGCCCAGGAAGCCAGTGAGGATACTGCGCAAGGAGGAAGTTACCTAGTGGCCCGATGTAACTTGTCGGAAATCTTTACGTCGTATAGTTCCTGACTCCAGGTTATTTGGTGGATGGAAAGAAAAGACTACTGTGTTGTTGACAGGAACGGAGACGGGACGTTGGAATTAAGGATGCGGCGGTGGTCAGTGCGCCTCACACCACACTTCTCTTCTACAACCCCACGATCCCTCACCCTTTGTCCTCTTCACTTGTCATCCCACATCATCTTCCGCCTAATTTCGAGCTCAACGACAACCAGTCAAGTCGTCGCCTAGCTTTCAGTCACAGTTTCGACTCCATGGTTCTTCGATGAATACGGTGAACCCCCTGGACCGCCCGCCTTACTACATAACGCCTTTGCCTTGACATCCTCACGGGATAAAGCATGCCTGGCCCTAACCCAACGTCACTGTTCCATCCTGGCTGAGGCCGGGTGCATTCGGGGCTCTCTGCCCGGAGATAAATCCCCAGAAGCCGGGTTTGTCTTTCCATCGGTACATGGGAAACCAGACTCGTGTCGTGGCCGGTAGCCTACTAACCCCTCCTCCCCGCCACGGAGAGCTTGTAATAACGGACAGCCTCCGCCATTGGCTCGCCCTGGACTCGAACCCATCGACGGCACGAACCCGGGGGTTGACGCCAACACTCCCGTCGAGTGCTCTCGGCAACGTCCTCCGCGACAGGCCGTCTCCTGCAGGACAACCTGGTAAGGTATGAGGAACTTCCGTCGCCCAACCACGACACCCAGCCATCACATCTCCCCAAGGTCAACAGCAGGGCCCGGCCCCGAAATGCGCAGTCACCATGCTTCACTCCTGCTGAACCCCGCATCGTACCGAACAATGAGGTCCCTCAGAGCAGCGAGAGCCATGGTGTGGTTGGGTGCCCGCGGAGCCCTGTGTCCTCCACCTATCATGCCACAGCGGCCGGTGCTCTGTCGTCGGCCGTCTGCCTCCGGATACACGCATCGAGCCAAGCGTCCTCTCACGGAAAACGAAGACCAGCTGTCGCCCGATCTGACGCCTCGGGAACTAATCGCCTTGGCCCAGCCTGGATGAATACACGCCCCCCACCTCGACTGCGTCGAAGCTGCTGGCCTGGACAATCGCGGCCTCTTGCATGTCTTGCGCACCACTACCTCCGTATCACTTCGGCAAAAGGTTGACTTTCACTTCGCCCCATGTAGCCGATTATACCCACGCGTAAGTAAGCATCTACTGCAGTCCCTCCGTCGATCTGACAACCCTCACGACGTACAGCCCGCCAGTCCTCTCCACAGGTATGGAAAATCCGGGGGTCACAGTGTACCAACCCATCCAGACCTCGTTCCCATGGGGTAGCACAACGTTAATACTCTATTCCTCGGGTAGCTGGAGCTTAACGTTGATACCACGTTCCAGTAATTTATCCAGCTCTCGGGGGGGTGGGGGGGCAATGGCCGGCCGCCTGCCTGCCGTCCAAGCGGGCAATGTCTGTGTCATCTGTCACCGGTAGGAGTTGGCATCTCACACCGGGCGATTCTGTCGAAGGCTCGAAGTAATTGGCATGTACAGGGTGCGGAACCAGGTGCAACATTGCAAGGCAACAGCCGAGACAAGACATCCAGGAAAGGCCTTCCTTTTTTTGTTTCACGGTTTCTTTTTTCTTTTTCCGCCCTCGCAAAGCCTGCTTTGGTACCGGATCATGTATCCCTGCTGTCAGATGAGCTACCGTAGCAAGTGGCTGCCGCAGAATGTCTCTTTTCTTGCCGCCTCCATCATACAGAGTAGATACTCAGAGGCCTGACGTCGAAGACATCCTTGGAGAGGCCTGCGGCCCAACGTCGAAACCACATGTCTCTCTTGTACTCCACAGAGGTTTCGCCTCAGCACGCAAGTGGTGCAAGGACAGGACAGAGGGGTTCATATCTTCATCACTTGGAACCACGCGATTCCAACATGCCGCTTGTATATCGTAGCAGATCCGATGCTTGCGGTACGATGGAGAGGGGCGCGGGTCTGTGCCACGCCGCAGCATACCTTTGGGTAGCACCTGGGGAGAGACAGGAAGCTGCTGGTACCTTGGGTAGGCTCACTGTTTGGACATCTAGCGGCTAATGGACTCACCACAATGATACACGGTATTCTGAGGAGAGGCGGCGATAGGCTGATGGCTATACCCTTGGATCCTAGACAGCCACGGCAGAGGCTAGGAAGGGGAAGCGGACACATCAACAGCGTGTTCAGAAACCAAAACAAAAAGAAGAGAGACTGTGTAAGTAGAGGGTACATATCCATCCTCCCTTGTTGCTACATCTCCCGGTTGCGATGCAGCGCCTTGGAACAGAGAGAAGACAAATAACACCAGCATCATCCCCCGCCCCCCGTCCCCCGTCACTGATATCCCCGCCATTCCGGGCGGAAGGCATCGATTCGCGGGAAAAGGGAAAAGGAGGGGGCGTGTAATCGTCCAAAAAGGACCACATACATCGGCTCGAGTCCCTTGAAGCTTAAGCTTAATCGAGTCGACTCCGACGAAGCCGATCTTGACCACTCGAGTAGTGAATGGAGGGGGTGCGTGGGGGATAATTGGGGGATAATTGGGAGCATAATGGACTCACTCATGGTACGTAAAGGCAGGTGAAGTTGGCAAGAAAGCTTACTGGCGTCGGGTCCTTGGTACGGCTTCAACCATCATCTTTTGCCTGTTTAGTTGGAGAGAGCATGGGCATACTGCGTAGCATTACCCATCCCTCTCCCGGTCTCACGAGGTTGTATCCTCGATGTTGATAGTCTCTTCGTTCTTTTCAAAGGGCCCTTGGTAACCTTGGATGGCCTCCGTCTGGTCGGGTTAAGTTCGTAGGTGAGGTAAGGTAAGGTGCAGTAGGTCTGGCGTGGGATATTGTTGTTGGGGGGGGGGGGGGGGGGGGGGTCTTGAAACTGCCAGAAAGGTTTGTACAACACCTAGTGTCAGGAATAACAGGAGCAAAAGAGCCCCCCCCATTGAGTTGTGAAAGCAAAAACAAGAGGCAAAAGATAGTAGCATCGTGGCAGAATCGGCGAGCTCGTCCGTCTTGCCAGTTCCCGTGACCCACCCCCCTCCCCGGACCAGCACCGCCGAGAATGAAGCCGGCGGAGGAAGCGGACGGACGGGCGGGGACCAACCATATTGCAGCATGTGGACGCTTTCGGCCGGATCGCAACTAGGTTCCGGTGATGAGAAACCGGGGGTGGCAGATTGGTGGAGGGAATCCCACTCGTGACCATCAACGCAAGCTTCGAAGTAGGTAGTTGGGCAAGTTTCGAAAATCGTTCGTTATGCGGGCCTTTGTTCTCGGCTCACAGACAGCAGGTTAATCGCTTAATGATCCATCATACCGCTCCTTTCGAAAGCTGCTCCTCGCTACATTGTCGTGCTTTGGGAAGGACATTGAGCTAAGGTAGCTAAGCTTATTCATACCTCGGTTCAGTATCCAAGGGCGGCGGGATGAAGCGAGACGAGACGAGACGTTGAGAGTTACATGAGGCAAAACTCCATGTTACCCATCACAAACATGATTGTTAGAAGGAAACCTCGGTAAGAATAGTAGGAGTGAGTGACGTGGGGATCTCCCTCCGTGCCTCCCTCTCTCTCACTCCCACTCTCTCGCCAACCGAGCTATGCCTGCAGTCATCAGTTCTTCTTCCGTCTCGGGATATTTTCTTTTTTTGCCAGTGTTGAAACCACCCCTCTCCCCCCACCTGCTTCCTTCCGTACGGTAGTAGTCCAACCTTCGTGAGATTTTACATCCCACGAGGCCCAATTCTAATCTAACAGGACTCGACTTGGGTTAGCATGTTATACTGGTTCGTTGCACACATTTCGAGGCACGTCATGTCTTGGAAGAATGAAAGTGGTATTTGTATATACTAAAAAACCCTCATGGTCTGGCAAGTTCTCTCCTCGGGGCCATGCAAAACACTCCAAAACGGAAAACACTAAAGCACATCGAGATACGTTTTGACGTTTAGGAGGGGGGTATTTTGATCTGGGAAACAAGAGACAAAATTTCAAGAACAGAAAACCCTGACCCAATCCTGGTAATCACTCAAGAGGAAAGGGAGAGAGAGAGAGAGGAGTTGCAGTAAAAGACAGAAAGGTCCCTTTTATATGCCATTTGGGATATGAGTTGGAAAAAGTAATGTGCATAGAGCAGAAGAGAAGCCAAAGACTGAAAATGTGAGCTTTCGTCATCATACAAGAAACCCAAGAAGTAAACAAACCGAACAGGCCAAAAAAAAAAAAGACAACAAACGCAGAGAGAGTCATGACGTTGGAGCAGCGCGCTCGCCCCCCCTTTATTCTAAGAACAGTTGAAAATTCAGATTTTCCGACCCAAAAAACCAAAGCAATGTTTCCGGTTTCCCCCCCTTTCTCTTCCTCGCTTCCTTTGCCTTGGGGTATCTTTGGGGGTGACCAACTTTCCAAGTATGGTCCATGTGAGGTTTGTGTTTTTCTTTGTTTTTTTCTTCTTCTCCTTCTTTATGCTGTGCTCCCGTATGCCTGCGGTCCGGGTACGGGTCCAGGTCCGGCCGGCGCTCCGCTTGAGAAGCTTCTCTTCCTCTTCAGCGCACCGAATTCGTGTTCGTAGCCGTCTCCTCCTCGCTGTTGTTCTTGGTGGTGCTGTTGCTGCTGCTGCTGCTGCTGCTGTTGCTGTGCGTACTCGCCATTGTGGGCGCCGTGAGGGGCGGCGGCGTGGTGCTGAGGCGGCATCGGGCCGCCGCCGCCGCCAAAGGTATCGCGCATGGGCGTCCTCGAGCTGGAGGTGTTCATGCTGGCGTGGAAGGCGAAGTCGTTGGGGGCCGAGATGGGCGCGCTCATCTGCGGCATCGAGTAGTCCTGGACGCCACCGGGTCGGGCACCGGGGGTGCGAGGCATGTTGAAATCGACGGGCGCGGTGAGGGGGGCGGAGGGGAAGCTGGAGGTGTAGGCGGAGGTGGAGGCGAACTGGGCCGAGGTGGCGCGAGGTGCCGAGGAGTGGCCCGGGGGCGGGACTGAGCCGACGGAGCGGTACTGGTTGCGGAGGTCGAGACCGAGGGTGCCTGATGAGGCGCGGGCGCGGAGGCGGTTTGGTGGGCCACCGGGGAAGCTCGAGTAGTTCATGCCAGGAGGTGAGTTGTTGCCTGCAATTCAGGTTAGTGATACGAGGTTTCCAAGAGGAGAGAGATGGTGAAACATACTGGAATAAGAGCTTGACTCGTAGTGGAGGCCGCTGCTTGAGGGGCCGTTCATCTGCTCCGGCTGGTAGACCGACTGCTGTCTTCCGCTCAGCTGAGGGCTTCCGCCGGCTCCGTGGTTGTATGTGCTGTAGTCGATCGCGTCGCCCTTCCAGGACATGCTGGAGCGGAGAGGAGAGTTGAGGTCCGACCTTGACCGGTTCATGGTCTCGCGGAGTTGAAGAGGCTGGAGGGGTCGGCTCGGCTGGCCGCGGTGCATGGACATGGAGTTCTCGAGGGCGCCCTGTCGCGCAAAGGGGTTTGAGGTCCGGGGGCCGGGGCCCATGGGCGACAGGTGGCTACCGTATCCGTAGCGGTGGTCGCCGGTCGAGTTGGGTGTCATGGGAGACAGGATGTCTGGGCTGCTCATGGTTCCCGGGGGAGTGAATCCGATGCTTCCAAATCCAGGGCTCAATCCCGTGGACGACATGTGCTCCTCGCCACCCTCGGCCCTTCGGACGTCGACCATCAAGGGACGAATCATGTGGTCGGCGTATGACTGTGTTCCAAAGTTCATGGGGGATGACATGGGAGTGTTGAGACCGTGGACCGCGCCGTAGGGGGAGTGAAGAGCCTGAACATTGTCAAAGTCGTCGGGCACCGCACGCATCTTGATCATACGGTCACGGTCATCGGCTGTGAGACGCTTAATCTTTGCACGGCTGTTTGAGGAACAGGATTAGTTTCAATGTCTCTTTTATGGCCGTTGGGTTGCGAGCAGACTTACCGGTTCTGGAACCAGACTTGTACTTGACGGGGGCTCAGGCCGGGGATCTCCCTCGATAGACGTTCTCTGTGGGCGGCATCAGGGTGAGGCTGCTTGGCGAATTCACTCATGAGGAATCTCGTCTGTTGGTGTGTGAGACTATAGTCGTTGTCAGTATGCCGTCCCCTCTAACAATGCTGTATTTTGCTTCAACTTACCGGAATCGCTTCATCTTCCTCCGAGCTGCTGTCCGCTCTGCGGCCGTCTGTGGGGTTCCATCGCCGTCGTCGAGCATATCATCATCGTCAAGCACGTCGTCGTCCTCATCCTTGCTCAAGCTGCCCTCGTCATTGTCCATCTGAGATGCAGACACATCGGCACTGAGCTCTGATGATGAAGCCGGGTTGGAGATCATCGTCTGACCCTGCATATCTGTTGACGCCGTAGGTTCCTGAGATGCCGGCTCTGCGGTCTTCTCCAAGGACTGCGATTCCTGTCGCTGTTCCTGCTGCTGCTGTCGTCTGTCTTCGAGCTCGTCTTCCGGAGTAGGCTGCTTCACTTGACGAAGTCCCAGAGGGTCTGCTGCTCCACGGTTGTCCAGACCGGGCTCTTGCTTCGTCTGGATCTCTACTTGTGCAGGGGCGCCGGTTGCAGTGCGAGGTTGCGACGCATCCGAAACCTCATTGCCAGCTCCGTACGCCTGGGAGAAGACGTTGTTTTCCGGCCCTGGGAGGTAAGAGTACTGCTGCCCTTGCCATTCGGGAGGCGTGGGCAACGGAGCTTCGAACTGGTTCGACATGCGTGGAGGAGTGGTAGGGGCCTTGTGGAGAGGAGTCTCAAATTTGCCGTAGGACCAGTGGCTCTGCTCGGTGGTATCAAATTGCCTGGTAACAAGCATTGGGACAGGTGTGGTGGTTTCGGTTTATGAGTTGGTTGTCTTGTTTCGAGCTGGGTTACAAGGACGGTCTGGGCCTCTCTGGAGAGAATGTCCTGAGATGAGGTTGAATCTAGGACAGATGGGTAAGGAGTGTTTGGAGGAATTGTGTTGGAAGCTATCGATGTTTGTCAAGATCTAGGATGAGCTAGAGGTGTACGACAAAAGCAACCGATAGTGGCAATATAACAGCACTTCAAGTTGATGATTCAAGGTAAGGTTGATGTCGTTGGGTCCGTCCCGAGACAGTTCTTAACGAGTTAATCAAACGAGAGAGTGTAAGAGTGAGAGTGATATATAGATAGAGAGAGGGGATGGATGCGTTGATGCGCCAAGTCGTTTTGGGAAAAGGAAGAGAAGATGATGAAAAAGGGAAAGAGGACTTGGCTACCCCAGGTCCCACGAGGTAGGATCGATCATATATTGTATAAATTTGAGGGTGTGCCAACTGATAGTATGGCGGGGTCGATCGACTGGGAGGCGTTCCTGGGCCTGGAACTGACAGGCCCCGTTATGTATGGCAAGTCTGAAGGATACCCGTGGTTGTAATAAGGCGGTCTTGTAAGGAAGCCCTTGCTCCTTAGTTTGACAGAGGTGGAATTAATACCAAAGGGTACGGCCATCCACACGGAGAAATGTCGAGCTGGATCCGGACAGGAGGACTTGGGACTCGAGCCAGGGCCAGCACGGGCAGCCAGCAGCGGCCACGATGGGGGGAGGAGTAACGGCTGGTATAACGACGAGGGTTCGAGGGTACTCGGTACCTGACTGGTGGTGTCGAGGAGGACGAGGATGACTGGGGTGAAGAGGGTACTCAGGTACCGTAGCAGTGGAGAATGAGATGGTTGAAAAGGGACCCGATGCATGGTTTAAGGCTCGCCGACTCGAGAGAGAAAAGCCGCAGCAGCAGTATCCGTAGTAGGGAAGCAGAAGCAGAAGCAGAAGCAGAAGCAGCAGCTCATGCCATGCCAGGCGGGTACGGATAGGCATGCCATGGCATCGAGCTTTGCCCGCCGCCGTCAGGCCCCAGGCCCCCGGCTTGGACGTGGGTGTGTGTATTTGGGATGTGGATGTGGATGTAGATTTGTCCATGTGGATATGGACAGACGGGGAGGGAAAGGGACTGCAGGGCAGGGGATGGATCCGTCGGGTAGGGAAAGGTAGGGGGGAGGGGGTGGGTAAGGTGGTCTGGGAGAACAGCAGCAGCAGCAGTTCCTGGCATCAACAAGTCAGTCGGGGGACGCGCGAACGTGGGTGGGCAGCTAATACTAGCTGTTGCTCTTGTCGCGAGATGCTGTTGTTGCTGCTGCTGCTGCTCTGCTGCGCCACATGCATCTGTGCGTGTAAATGTTGTATGGGTGTGGGTATTTCCGTCCATCACGTCCAGTCTTCCCAAGCACCACCAAGTTCCTACGGTACCCTCCTGTTCCTCCTCCTCCACCCTGTGTGTTCGAGAAAAGACCTGGGCTGAGCCTTGGGGGGTCGCTCAAAGCGAGGTGACAGATGGACCGGACGATGGTAGCAGCTATATCACCACAGCCCATGGCCTTAAGATTTTCGGCTGAATGGCTAATGCCGTGCTGCCATTGAATGTCCTGGAACCCATAACCTGCCCCAACACCATTCCATCATTCCCAGCCCAGCACGGCATAGCGCGAGCGAGAGAAAGAGAGAGAGAGAGAGAGAGAGAGAGTGTGTGTGTGTGTGTGTGTGTGCGTGTGAGAGACCTGACCCTTGGCTCGTGTTGGTAAAGAAAAAAGCTATCCCAGATTGAGATGACAGATTTCTTGCAGCGGCGTGCCAGCTGAGCAGACTTGAGCAAGCCCATGGTGAAACTGGGTCACCTTGTCTGCGAAGGCCTGAATAGGCAGGCTGATGTCGACACCTGAATCAGTACAGAACCAGGTGGGCGGTTTTGGAGCAATGGATAGGAGGAATGAGACAGGGTTGGACGGGGGGGCTCTCCCTTTTCCCGCCTGTTCCCGTTTGCAGTTTTGCCCTTGGAGCGGCCGCAGAGAGATCAAAAAGAGAACCTGAACCCAGAGCTGGGTTCAAGAAAAAAGCTCAGGTACTAGACAGGCACAAGCGCAGGCACGGAAAGGCGCGGCCGAAGGTTGTCTGCTTGGCCCCGAAATAAATGATACTATGGATCTCGCATCGAGGCGAAGGGGGATCACAAACCACCTCAAGGTTCCCTGTGCAGTGTGTACTTACAAGTTACGGATACACACGATATTGCACAGGGACAGATGGTAGCCAAAAAGCCACTCCTCCGAGGCTCCGACATCATACATGCCGCTCGAGCAAGCCCTTGACACGTTACTTACCTTACGCAAGACGGCAGAGAGAAAGAACCGAAAAGACGGCTCGGGAAAAGGAAGAAAAAAGAAATCAAGGAGCGAAAGAGGCATCTCGGCTGGGATATCTGGATGACGCTCATTGGATCCTCTGTGACATTAGCTCTGTATCGACTCCACGGATGAACGCATGACCGTTGTCGAGAAGCCCGGCCGAGGCCACGGCCAATGGGAAAGATCATCGATCAAGGGGGAGCCGGAGGAGGTGGATGAGCCGATGAGGAGGGTGTGTGTGGTGGACACTGGGCTCTCTCTCACAGTTCACTTTCTCTCGCTCTCTCTCTCTCTCTCTCTCTTTCTCTCGCGCGCAGAGTGGCTTGCTCGCTTTCTGTCCCCTCTCTTTTGCTTCCCCCATCCCACTGCGGACGACAAAAAAAAAAAAAAAAAAAAAAAAAAAAGGCCTGAGGAAAGGCTGCGGGGGAGGGCGTCCCAAAGGAAGCGGGACGGAGTGGAGGGCAGCCCTAGGTGTGCGTCTATTGAGTTGGCCGGCCGCGAAGAAAAAGAAGGGTCGGGAAATCTGGTGGGGGAGGTGAGAGTGACAGCGAGCGACAAGGGAACAAGGATCGCGGTAGTGTGCTAGTGTAGTTGCAGGGGGGCCGGACGAGAGAGAGGAAGAGAGACAGCGAGCGCTTTCGCGAGATACGGCGCAGTAACTAGCAGAAGCCGCCGTATAGACTCTTGGAGGATTGGAGTATGTCTGTGTGGTGACTGACGGGCGGCAACTTACTTGATGACTGACCGGCCGGTGGATTATCTTGCATCTCTATCTGCCTCTTCACGGACACCCTCGATCATCAATGTCTTCCTCGACGGGGAGAGCAATGGGGAATGGGTCGAGGACTGGAGCAAGAGGCGGACAGAGAGGAGAACGAACAGAGGCAAGGCAGGGGACGGTAACGGGTAACGGGTACGGACACAGAAGCGATGGGGTTGGTGATGGGTTGATGGGCGACGGATGACTCCCGACCCCGGCAGACTGCCTTTGGCGAGGCAAGGGGATGGACGGACAATGAGCAGATCCTCCAAGAAAGTCGATCTTCTCGTCTCGGTTCAAGACCTCTTCTTTCGCCGCCGCAGCAGCCAGCGGCCCAGTCTTACATCAACAGCGAACTGTGGAAGACACACCGTGGTAAGGTACACACAGACAACTTACGGATACACGCACACATACCGCAGTACGCACACACAAACCTTAACTATCGCGCAACGCACAGCGTCCCCCACAGCAAGTGTGGAAGAAAAAAAAGCATGTTCAACTCGAGAGTCTCTCTCTCTCTCTCTCTGCCAGGCCAGGGCTCAGGGGATGAGAAGAAGCGGTTTCTCGAAGCCCGCCGCGGTCCCTCAATTCCAGTTTCCATGTTCTCCACCAAGACAGACAGGCGAGACTGGGAGCCCGTCTGCCAGAGGCTGTCACCGGTACGGATACTTTGGCTGTGTCCACTTCCAATCTTGTGTACATCGGTCCCTTGACCAAGTCGCCCTGTTGCCGTGTTCCAGGAACTTAGTGTACGAAAGTGGGAGAGCGTCTCGAGAAGAAGATAGCGCCTTGCCCTTGCCTTTCTACCAAAAGTGGATTCCCAACGTAGCGGTAGCGGCCTTCTAGTGCTCGCGTAGAACAACAAAAACGAGCTTCCAAGTTCCAACGAAGCGCCGTCTATGTGGTTATGTGTCTGATCTGGGCGTGATGAAGGCGGCGCAATTTAAGCTCACGGTTTGGCGCGCGCCGCCGCCGAGGCCACTACCGCTATCGAAAGAAAGATAGGTAGAGAGATAGAGCTAACTAAGCTAACGAGTATTAACGGCAATGTCAAGTCACTGAACCCTTATGCCCTTTAGGAATGCTTTAGGCCGTTCAGGATCCCGCGCCTTGGTGACATGCTGGAGCCAAATCCCCCCACCCCCGGGGCTGTTGGACGAATCGAACGAGTTGGTTTGCTTGTGGCTTCTTGGTCTGAGGTTGCGGCGGAAAGGAAGGCGGTCAGATTAGTCTACGGTGTGTGTGTAATATGTCAAATGTATGTGACCGGAAGGAAAAGCTGGTTAATTAGTTTTCCTGTAGCTTCTCTTCTGACAGCACGGCACTTGGGATATTGAAGTCTCCGGGGAGGGACGAGGGGAGGGGGGGGGGGGGGGGGGGGGGGGGGGGGGTGGTGGTGGTGGTTCGCGAACGAGCATGGCCTGGCGCTGCGGGCCTTGTCCGGCACGTCCGCGAGATATCATCTCCACGTGCATTTTGATTCGATCGGACCAAGAGAGACATGAAGAAAAAAGGGTAAAAACAAGAGAGAGAGAGAGAGAGAGAGAGAGAGAGAGAGAGAGAGAGAGAGAGAGAAGCTATTTTGGAATTCGGACATTACGCTAGGCTAGCTAGCTAGCTAGCTTAGCTGTTGTTGAAAAGTCCCGGTCATTTCCAATCTATGCCAGGCTGAAGAGGTGCCACGCTCTTCAATGCCGTGGTGGACGTGGGGAGAGTTGCGAACGACGGGCGTCAGGGCCGCCGACATGGGCCACCCGGTCCCAGGAACGACGAGGGCTCTTCTCCAGCTTGGTTCGACAGCTGGCTGGGTACTTCATTTTACTATGTAGATGTACGTGGTAGTGAGGTATATGCCGAGAGTTTGAAGAGTACTCTAGGTGTGATCTTGTGAACGCGTGTGTGAGCGTATGTGTGTGTGTGTGTGTGTGTGTGTGTGTGTGTGTGTGTGTGAGTTCCATCAGGGAATTCCGAAAAGAGGCACCACATTCGACAGAGCAAGGGCAAGAGGAGCTATACTCGTACTAGGTAACACTAAGGGTAGCATGAGCAGCGAGGCTAAGAAAAGAGTGGTAGCGTTGCAGCGAGCGATGCGATGCGTCGATGTGGTGGTGCACTGGTGCTGGGTAAGGTCAGGTCAGGTCGGAAAGCTGCCCGAACGAGCCGTAGGCTGAAAGGCTCATCCTCCTCCGAGCCTTTTCTTTCGTCTTACTCTTGGTCTTGGAGTCTTGGAGTCTTGGAGTCTTGGAGTCTTGGGAGGAAATGCGCGCGATGCTTCCCGCCCATTTCGTGGTGGGGTCACGGTGTAACCTCTCCTCACTCCTCCATCCATCCATCCATCCATCCATCCATGATCCAAAGCTGCTGCTGCTGCTTGCTTGCTTGCTGCTCGACCCGCATCAATGATGATGGCACTTGTGTCTGCGGCGTGGTGTCTCGGTACCTGAATTGCTGGATTGCTGGTCCGCACACGCTCCCTCTGCCATCTGGTCTGAGTGCTCTCTCAGACTCTCTCACACCTGTGACCTCGCCTCGGGAACTATTTCCACATTCCCAACAAGCTACCGAACCTGCCGATCATCTCAAAAAATTTGAGCCGTGTCTGGTCCTGCCTCTATCCGTACACACAGACAGTCAAGAGAGACAAGTTCATGCAAGGACCAATCACTCATGTGCCGAAAGTTTTGTAATTACCCTCAGAAGGAGAGCAAAGGGTTGGGGTACGGGTAAACAACAAGCAGTCAACCACTGCAACTCTTTTTTTGGCTCTTCTGCTTCCCACGCTTTTCGGGTGACAAATGACGGCATATGCGTGGGCAATCTATCCGTACCCCCTACTAGCTAACCAAACGTCACGCCATCTCTCTATCATGACAGAAATCGGACTTTGAGAAGCCGTCAGGTTATGCTCTCTCTCTCTCTCTCTCTCTCTCTCTCTTCAGAAACCAAAAGTTTGCGTACCGTGCCCCTCCACTTCCCCCTTGCATCATGAGCGGGGAGAGAGAGAGAAGTGAGAACGGAGGTCGGAGCACACCCAAACACAAGGAGGCTGACCGACCGAGCCTAGAACGATAGGATATGGTAATGGGGAGTGAAGATCTCTCAGTTCTCCAGGAACGAACGAACCAGAAACGTTCCTTCATCGGAGGGAAATCCATCACACACACATACGCAGACATACATACATACATACCTACATACATGCGTACATACAAGTCATACGCACATTACATAGGCGCCGTCGCCGTCGGGGTTTTTACTCACTTCTCGCCAGCAGCGACAATCGTCCACTTGACTTTCAATAGGATAGGGGTGTGGCACTAACACCAACGACACCAACGACGCTTCATGATCCCCCCTTCCGCTGAATGCGCTGCACACTGCACTCCTCATGCGCTGAAGCTGCGTTGCGTTGCGTGCAGCACACACACACACACACTGCAGACAACAAGTCGCTGCTGCTGCTAAATGTCCGTGCTCAGATTTGGCCGTAGAAGGCGTCCATCTGGCATCCTCCGGCCAGGGGAGGGGAGAGAGGGAGGGGATGAGTATACGAACCGTGGTTTCATCTCATGCCGGGGTACGCTTGCGGACCGGGGTAGTCGTTGGTCGTTCACATCAGCGTTGGGGCTGGGCTGGGTGCGGGAAGACTCGAAGAGCAAATCGACAAAAAAAAATAAAAAAAAATGTATCTTCCTCGTCATCCGTCCAGGGGTGAGGGATGGCCGCGGCGGCGACGACGACGACGGACGGGTGATCGTAGGTCCCTCATCAGGCCAGGCCTACCATAGCAGCCAGCCAGCCAGCCAGCATCATCTTCTTCTTCTTCTCCCCCCCGCGGAGTGATGCGAGTGAGCGAAGCAGGGGTTTGGAGTGATGTACCTTGCATGCTGGTGATGCGGATGGGGAATTAGGGGATCCCACTTTCGCATCACCGCATCCGCTTCGTTTCGCTCATCCGCGGCCGCCATGCGTGTGGTGCGTGTTGGTGATGGGTAAAGACACACAGAGACATCTCGAGTGACGAGACAAGACGAGACAAGACGAGACTGTTTTCGGTGCGAAAAGCGAGAGACTAGCTAGTGTACGGATACCCGTCTGATGCCTCGCACGTCACCAAAGTCTACTACCGCTGCTGTACAAGAAAAAAAGTGCCTAGCCCATCTATTCCGTACCGTACGTGTAGAATATCTGTAAGGATGGACCCCCAAAGTCAAAATGACAAGATCCGGACTCGGCGGCGCGGCGTTGTCGGTGTTGTACGTCGGGGGCCTTGCAATGCCAAACTCTCTGCCGCTCGGGGATGCCCTCGCTCAGGATCATCAGATCGAGGGAGGCCTGCTGCCATCCGAAACTCAGACATTGGAAATTCAAAATGGTGAGATGAACAACAAGAATGGTCTTGCTTTACAAGAGTTACCGCCCGTCCTAAGTGACATCCAGCATGACCAGCTTCTCACACCAGAAACCGAGTGAGAGAGCGAAAAATGGAGCACAATTGGCCATAGAACATAGACGTAACACCAAGAAACATGTCGGTTGTCACTCTGTTGCTTTTTTGTCGGTGTGTTTTCTTCTTGGAAATCTCATAATGGCCCGGTCCTTTTCACTTCCCTCCTCTCGAGTCTCTGACTCTCGGACGCGTCGCCTCGTCTCGCCTCACCTTGCCCATCCATGCCTTGGCTAAGGCTTGCCCGGGCCCCGGTGCCCTTGCTCTCGTCTTCGGGAGAGCAAACCGAGAGCAGCCCAACCCATGGGGCCAAACGCAAGAGAGCAGATGCTGCGTGTATGGACTGGGCCAACCCACGGGTGTGTGGATCGTGTCGTGCGGTCGCCGGGTCCTGTCCAATTTCGTCGCGCAGAAGAGTGGGAATCCATCTCCGCGACGGCCGTCCGTGTGCGGCGTGCCCTGCCATACAGGAACGCCACCCGTGGAGTTTCTTCCCGGCACTGCTGCACGCATTGCAGGAGAAGAGACGACAAGACCATTTGACAGGAGCTGCTCTCACTCGCTGTTGCTTTGATGTGCATGCCGTTTCCCAAACTTTGCTCAAAATGTTGTTCCGACCGGGTTGGGGACTGGTGCCATGCCTGGGTTGATCCCAAGGACAGCTCCAAGATGAGAGGAACGGGTGATGGGCGTCAGGTATCAGGCTCATCAAGGTCCATCAGGCCCATCCATGAGACACGGGAGCGTTCGCGGACGCCACATCCGTCAATGCATGCTACTGCTTGTTGCTTTCCCTGCTTTGCTTGCGAGCCTCGCCCTGTAGGCTGACTGTTTGTTGGTCGGGTCAGCTGGCTGGCTGGCTTACGCTGCCTCTGTATTCGTACTTCGTAGTCTGTACGAATAGTAATACAGAGTATCCGTACGAACCACGAATACCTCTGTCGCGTAGGTATCTAGTGTACGCTTCCCGAGGAGGCCAAAGGCATGAGAGACAGAGGCAAGACATACCACCACGAATCCACGACCGACCGGGACAGGGTGACTTGCTTCAAGATCGGGCTGCCGTTAATGTTGATCTCAGGCAAATCCAAAGCGAGACTCGTTCGGTACACAACTTGGCAAGTCTGCAAGCCACTCGCCAGCCGTTGCAACAGCTGTTCGCGGGCTACCCGAAGTCCCGTCGCTCAAGTCCAAGGTACCTGAGTCGAACCGGAAGAGAACTGGGCGTGTTCGGTGTGGCAGGGAGCGGATGGGAAAGGCAAAAGGGCGCCAAATCTACCGGCGCCCCGTCGGGCCATCAACTTGACACAAGGGCCTGTCAGGGATTACCTGGCTCTGCTTCCCAGAGATCTCTGAATCGTCAGCCAGACGCGCTAGAGAGATCCAAGAGGTTCCGACAGCGCGGCAACCGTGGGGCCATCGTCCAGCGAGCACTTCGTCCAAACTTGCCATGCCACCCACGCCCCCCTGCACGCGCGCCCGCGCGCGCGCGCGAATCGCTTCGTTACAACTTGCCCATTCGACAGCAACCCCGGCATGCGTGTGGCTCCTAGTACACTAACTTGCGTACCTGCGTGTTGCCCGTCACCTTCACCCTCCAGGAGTCTTGGCAAATCTCCAATCCACCTTGATCCAGCGAGGCGGGACTTTTGGCGTGTCTCAGTTGCCATGCCTTGGGATTGCAGGTGCATGCTGGTTGCAGTCCGCGTCAGTCAGGGACTGTCGATAATCTCGTTCGAGTCTCGAGTCTCGGCTCGTCTGTCGTTGTCGTTGGGCCTGCCAACTTGCCTGACAAACAGTGGATGCAGCCGGTACTCGAAGCCGGCATCAAACTGCAGAAGAATCCTAGGATGCCCAATGCGCTAGCAAGGACTGAAGACGCCTTGGAGTAAGGAGGGAGCGATAGAGAGAGAAGAAAAAAAGGTGGTGGCTTGAAGTTGGTGTGCGGAGATGCAAGATTGATTCTGATTGCCCCTCGACAACGGGCAAATTGGAGAACGGCAGTTCAGTTGGTTGGTTGGTTCGTACGTACGTCCGTACGAGATGACACTGACTGGACCAACGCAACGCAACGCAACTCTTGTCTGACCCGCGATCTGCAAAACAAGGAGTTTGTGCGTGTGTTTGTGTGATCCGTACGCAGACATGGATACTGCATTTGCAGGCCCGGGACAACTTGCTTATTTCCCCTTTGCTTTCCCGGCTTCGATATCCCGCCTCGTCCAAACAAATAAGCAGTGCTGCAGTTAGGAACTTAGGACGTGTAAAAGCCAAAGGGGGCCAAGACAAGACAGCAGCCACACACTCCGGGATGCGGCTGCTGCGGCTGCGGCCACTCGAGTCACGACGCAGACGCCGGCCGCCGCCCGACTAACAGCGATTACCCGGTGATGACCTCAAAGCCGCCGTCGGGTCCGTTTGTACGACGCGAAATGTCTTTCAAGAGTCTTGGGAGGATCGAAACCTCAACCTGCATTGCCTGCTCGCAGCTACTCTATTTCGATGCGTACAAGCAGAAAATAGCATCAGATCCACCTAAAACCGCCTTTCCATGGAGCAATTGTTGGTCTGTGTCAAGTCGACGGAGAGCCGCAGCCACGAGCAGGTAGCCGCGTCGGAGGCGGAAGTAGATGCAGTTTCGGGGAGCGGCCATGTGAACACGCCTGTGCCGCCAGAGACAGCACCGACCGGCCCCCCCCCCCCCCGGGGTGACCAGGACCGGGCGTGGGCGATTCTGAGGCTCTTCGAGCAAAGGCAGGGCGAAGAACATGGGCTGAAGAGGTCATGGCATGGATTGCGATCCGCGCCATTGAAGCCAACACGGGTTTGCTCTCTCTCTCTCTCTCTCTCTCTCTTTCCGACTCTTGTCGTCGGTCCGCTGAGCCCATTCTCGTCACCCTCGGCACTGTGGACCTCGGGCGGCTATGAATAGGACTCGAGGGTTGCGGTGGTATCGGACTCGCCTTTACCTTCCATTCGAAGTCAAGGCTCTCGGTTCCAGTGCCCCTTGCGGTTATGAAGGTTGCTTTCAGTCAGAAGTCTCAGTCTCAGTCTTCTACTCACCCCAGAGTCATGTGTCTCCACAGTGATTAGAAGCCAAGTCAAGTGGAGCTGAAGTTGCAACTTTTCATCGCCGAGGCAGCTGGTTGCTAGCATCGCTGTTGCGCAAGCCTTTGCATGTCTAGAAGTTGCAGGACTCGACCATGTGCGACTGCATTCGCGCCCGCGCCCGACCGCGCACAACACGTGTGGCTGTGGTCTTCGCCACGGCGATGGACTTGCAATGGGGCGATGGGAGAAGCTCGGTCTGAGCTGTGGGCGGCCTTGGTGCGCATCTGACCAACGAGGACTCGAGATATTCGGTCAAGATCGGAGGCAAGCAGGCTTGAAAGCCGTTAGACAGGGAGCTCCCGGGATGCGTCGTCTTCTCAAGGTCGGCGAGCACTAGCGGCCGTGCGATGACAGAGTTTCCCGGCCTCGAGCAAAAAGCACCAACTTGCCACCTTGTGCGACGAGGCTATGTCAATTGCAGGTGACAGACGGGTGGCCGATTGCTCGGCATGGCTTGTCACACCAGCGACGGGACGAGCAGGTCAAGCGGGTTGGTTGGTGCGGCTGCAGTGCGAGCAGGGCTCCCCTCGACAAGCCTTTCGAGTGCCGGTCCTGAATCCCCAACTTTTCCAAGACGTGGGAAGTGAAAGGGGGCAGGGGGGCGAGATTTTTCGTTGAATCGCTGCTTGGCACACACTGAGTGCCGCCAACGGTATCTGGCGTCCGTGAACTTTGAACTCTTCAACAACAAGTTTCCATGGCAGATGCGGGCGATGGATACCATCAAAGACAAAGGTGCCACCTGCCACTGTCTCAAGCGTGAGCCCATGACTTGGAACGGGGTCGTTGATGTGCGTGCGCTTGTGGAGACGATGAAGCCGAAGACGAGATGAAAGCCCAGGCACCTGACGACAAGTTGGCAAACGGGCATCGCTGCTGGTCCATGGCTGCCAAGACCTGCGTGGGTTTTGCAGTTGCGGTGTGTGCGGATATCATTGTCTGCCAGTGCCAGCTTCCAGGATTCCAGGAAGGCTTCTGAGCAGTGGAAGATTTGGCAACGGGGGGTCGTTGTGGGCAGCGACCAAACCAAATGAGGCAATTCCAAAGAAGGCCCCTGCTGCATCATGGTGCGGATATCTCGCAAGCAGACGACATTGACAAGCTTGCAATCAAAGGCTTGCCTGGCAAGCTGATACTAAAGCAGAAAAAAAAAGGGGTGGATTCCCTTGGAAGAAGATTCTGTCGTGCATGGCGGTATCGGCCACGACAATCAAGGTCATGGATGATGATGATGATGATGGTCCCGTCACGGACAGTGTCAAGCTAACGAGTTACTGCGAATTTGTCCGTAGTCCGCGTTGGCCCGTACGATCCCTAGCCTCATGGAGGCTCTTGATGCGTATCCGTGATTCCGTCCACTAGAAGCCGAAGTGAAGACCGGGGCCATGCCGCCCGCCATGGATGGATCATGGGAGAATAGGATCTGGGGGCCTGGCCATGGACTGCGGTGGACACGGCACGGCGGACATGACGCGAGGCACCTAGTAGACGTCTGCCGATGCTTCAGATGCGCGGGATCCGGAGATGGTGCGATCTGGAAATCAAATCAAAGGACTCGAGGGCCGAGGCCCGGGGGACGGGTATCTTGTAAGAGCCTCCGCTCGGCAGGGCCATGGTCTTACCACTGACGTACCATTCTTTCCTCTTTCTCTCTGGGAATCTCTCCCTTTCGGTGCTTGTGTGCCTCTTTCGAGTCTTGTTCCTCGTTGCAACTTCGTCCGCCCACCTCTCCGGAAGGATCCAGAGTGGTATTCGGTCGTCGGCGGGCCTGCTCCGTTTCGATGGTCGTCCGCGACGGGGACACTCAACCGCTATGAGGCCCTCACTCGGTCTCTCCCCCCGGCACCGCTGCAACGCCGTGGGCACTTTTGGGTGCCAGTGCCGAGCTTTGGTGCGTTGTTCGCGTACTATGTACCTACATTGGATTGGGTTTAGGCAGTTTTGGGTTGTGTAGGATCCCATGTTCATGTATGCGTAAAAGGGGGTGAAGAAATGGCTTTCCGATCTCTCAAGTGGGTCGTATTCCATTATCCATCATAACCACTACATCCCGAAAAGGACCAGGAAAGAGCGGGGTCCATGTCACTTTCCAGGCACCGCCAGGGGAGCCCAGGCTGGAGGTGCCGATCGGACGATATTAGGTAAGTTGGCATCTGAACGGTGAGCAGGTTCCCAGGTACTCCGTACACCTATCCCACGCCATCCCAGGTGACCGGTCCAGTCGGGACGTTCCCCTTCCACCCAACCCCATCACTGAACCCTTCCAGCTCCTCGGACACGGATATACGAGTCGCCCCGACCAACGAGCATCACCCCAGTCGAGCGGTCAACGAATTGTTCCTCCAACCTGGGAAGTTATTGAACAGACTACGGATACAGTACCTTGCCTGTAGAGGGGCCCTCTGCGAACACTGCCACCATCGATCACGACGACGGTCAACCTTGACGGCCTCTGCAGCAGCCTCTGCCTTACTGTTATTGTTTTTCATCAAATTGCCTACCCTTACCATACCACCGTGTACCCGCTCACTAAGGCAATCTGACTTTGGAAATGAATTGCATCGGCCAGTCTCATCTATTCACCCGCCGCCAACTTACTACTGTATCTATGTACTTTGTACGGATCCCTTACCTTCGCATCCGACGAGCGGGAGGCCAAAAGTCCCTGCGCCTGAGCCTTGTGAGACATCGCAACAAGCTTGCTTTACCTCACTGCGCTCCGTGTCACTGAACGTTATTTTGCGAACCGTGGCTCTGGATTCGGTTTGTGGGCGTGGGAACACCTCCTTTGCCTATTCCGAGTTCGCATTCCTCGGTCTCAGCTCTAGTGTAAGCTCTTAGCTCTGAGCTCGCTACATACCAGCCTTGTCGCCAAGCTCCAGGTTCTACCGTTCTGCAACGTAGCTCGGGGTGGCTTTGGAGTCTGGTCCTGACATTGACGGTGAGAGCGACGGCTTCGGAGTGGACGAAGCTCGATAGCTCGACTTTGCGCCCATCTCATTTCGTTTCGTCTCGTACCGTTCCACTCTCCGATATCCCCGTCGGTTGTCCTGATGACTTGTCGTCAAAATCCATATCCGCAGTCTGCAGAGAAGACGGAGTACGGATAGAGTGCCAGCATGAAGAACGACTCACGTCTTGTGTGCGGGCGGCGGAGTGCAAAGGGGGGGGGGATCATCACGAAATGCGACAACGACGAGCGGGAACCCGATGTCTGGGCATTCCAGTAACTCCGGGCTGGACTCGCTCGAGTGCGATGCGGGTCTCGTCAGATGTAGCAACTGTTGCTTGTTGTCTTTGGCCAAACTCCTATCATCGGCTGTGATCATTTACTGATGAGGCATGGTGCTAAACCTTCTTCACGACGATTCTAATGCGCGGCGATTCAGGTGCTGGTCGTCTGACGAGACAAGGCGGAGAAGGCGCGAGCTTGCAACGACCCTTGACAGCGTGGGCAGATGAGCCTCTCTTGCCCTGGGCGACGCCGACACGGACACCAAGGCGGTGGCCCTGGGTGTATGGGTATGGGTTGATGAGAAGTTGAAAATGAAATAGACCTCGCTAGGCTCATCGCGCTCTCCACCATCTTCACTCCACCAAGCAGTGGATATGGGTTTGACTCTTGAGTCGACGTCGACGACGGGAGGTCGCAGCGCGGTGGAGAGAGAGAGAAGCGGCCCCCGTTGTTGTGCGGATGGATGGGTACGGATACTTGCTTGCAGCAACTCACGGACGCGGTGCTAGTGCACGTCGGCCTGGACTGTGACAGTGTCATCAGAGATAGGCGGCATCCGTAATGACTGCAAGAGGATCCCGTTGCTGCGTCCACTGTTCCAGTATCGAGGGTGAGGGCCCTGAAATCTGGATTCCTGTGATTTCCCGCCAGGGTGAGAGAGGGTATCGTGGGTACGATGACGGAAGCCGGACTGTGTTATTTGTAGGGAATATCACATAAGATGCGAGATACATATGTACTGTTCTGTTCGTACGGAGTAGTGACTATGTACTCCGTAGAGATTGAGATGTGGTCTGGACATTTGCTTTCTTTTTGCGGGTACCCATCAGACTCGGGCCCTGGCTAGAGGGTAAGAAGTGCAAAGAAAGGCTTGTCATTGATTGTCATGGCATGGCATGGCATGGCCTAGGCCGCGGCACAAGACTTGAAGCTGCCGGCCGCCGGTATTTGCTCAACTCCACCAGTCGGGGTTTCCACCACTACCGGATCCTTTTTGCTTCCTTTTTTCTTCATCTTCTTTCCTTCTGCCCATTCCCCCGTTTCCCCTTTGTCTTGGCATCCTTCCTCCGCATGGCGTGGCTGCCGTGTATGTGTGTGTGTGTGTGTGACCAGTGACCACTGACGGGTAGCAATTCTACCTGCTGAGTTGAGTTTCCCCTCGATTTTGCTTCTTGGGTTACGGAGCATCGTCTTTTTTTTTGTTTGCCTGTGAGGCGACGCTCCTTGCACTAAGAAAGCGAGATGGATTCCCACCGCCTTCAAACCGCCTCCCACCGTCCACGGTCCCATCCCCACTTTCCCCCATTCTTTTTTCCCCGAAGAAGAACCTAGACGGAGGAGAAGAAACGGCACGAGGAATTAAGAGACGATACTCCGAGAGAGGAGCCTCCGAAATGAGAGTGGGAGAAATTCACAAAGGAAAATAAGAAAAGACATCGACTCCGGGTACAACAACAGAGTCAACAACTCACGAAAAAAAAAAAAAAAAAAAAAAAAAAAAAAAAAGCCCGGCCTTACTCCGCCGAAGCCGCCCATGTCCACTCGATTTTCCACGCCCAATTTTAGTGTCAATCCTGGCATCTCCGCCCCTGCCCTGTCTTTGCCCTGGGTGTGCCGTGTAGCTCTGAGCCTCTCAGGTATTCACCCCCGGGACTGCCGTGCCTTACCCTGGCAGACTACGGTTGCAGTGAAGGCGGCTTTCTCGCTGCAGTGTGGCCCTATGCCTGGTGCCTTGCACGTAACGGGGATCGTTATTGTCACTCGAGTAAGGTAAAGGGTGGGGTGGGGGGGAGAGCGCCTAAGAGGGGAATGGAACCAACCTCAACTCTCCATCAGCCCAGCTTTCGGCAAAGGCGCGTTAGGGTCGGTCTTAGCACATCTTAGAACCCCATTTATGAGTCGCAATCGCCAGGCATTATTATCTGGGCGGGCCAAGGCGAATCATGACATGGGGGAACTAAAGTCGCTTCTGTCCAAGGTAGGCTCTAGAATCGCCTTATTTCAATAACACACGATGCTAAGGTAAGCCGCGGTACCTTGCATGATTACCTCATCGTCCATCTGACTGCACTTGATTTCAATTGGCAGGTATCAATTGACAATTGGTGACTTGGCAGTTGGCGTGTTGGTCCTGGCCTTCCCAACTGGGGGCTGCTAAGGCTGACTTGAGACGACTAACGTCTGAAGACGACTGCCGTGCCTGTTTTACCACACCACACCGATGGCACGACGGCATTCCCGCCCATCCCAAGCCCGTACTCCATTCCAGAGTCCATACCACATCCGTCACTTCAATGCGAACTCTTGCCATCATCAGTCCCATTTCGTGACTTTTCGTCCCATCATCCTGCCACATCCATCACGCACATCTTCCAACTTCAGCCCACCACCTCCATCCTCGTTGCAACCAAACCCCAACTTGATATCCTTTCCCACCCCATGGCCCATGACCCATCTGTTCGAAATAGCATCATCAATGGGCTAATTATACATTCCTTTTTCTTTTGGCCCCATCTCAGCCCAGTGACAGGCCAGTTCAGTTCCAGCTTCCCCTCCCGAACCTCCTCATGCTCATCCCCGCCATGCATGGCATGCTCGGTTCATCCATCGTATCGTGGGACATGGCCTACCGCATGGCATAGCATGGCCTTCATCGAGATGACCACCACCTCCACGTGCCCTTGACTGGCCTCGTTCCGTCGGACCCTGCCCTGTCTTCTTCCCCGTCCCGCCCTCACGGAACCCGCGGCGAAAAGCCATCTACTATAGCTCTCACCATACTCGTCTGGTGTTCCCTCGTCGCAAACCTACGATAGATCTTCTAGAACATGGTCAGCAGGGGCAACCACCGCTCACCTTCTCTATTTACGCTTTTGCAAAGCTGCCAGAGCTTGTTGCATGTGCTGCCTGTGTTAGACAAGATAGCTTGGTGG